CTAAAATGTTTTCTATAGCTATTACTACTGGCTTCTTATAGGTCTTTCAAACGCGCAGTTAAAACTTATTGTCATTTCAAGTGTCTTTTATCTTATAAGATAAGTATCATCTTGATATTAATGAAGTACATACTTGTGTTGCTGACGGTACTCGCTACCACATCTCGTAGCGGGGAGAGGAGGTGATGCAGTGCGACACGATTATGTCATCGAAGCACATCGATTACCCGCGTGGGAATATGTCTGAGAGGTTCGTTTGTCAATCCCGTTAATGCAGCAGTCGCTGTGACGTCATCTCGAGGAAATCTTCTACGACCCCTTATCCAATCGACGATAAACTCCATGAGAAAGTTAGTTATACACATTTATAGATAAATATCGTTATTCGATAATTAAATTATACTCACAATTGTGTATAATACACAAGTCTGCAAACTGTAAATCTCTCGTGTAACCCTGAGGGGTAGGCAGAAAACACAGACTTCTGTTCGGCACGGTTCTAACTAGTTTTAGATACATAAAAATTTATTTGGGTACTCTGAATACCGTTTAATTCTTAAAGTATTAAGTAAAAAGTATAAATATATAAAAGTATAAAGTATTTAAACAATCTGGACAGAATAAGCCTGTCTGTAACGACCCTGAATAACACTGCCGCTAACTTTCCTATCATAAACCATTCTTAATCTTTCATTAATCTTACATTAATCTTTTAGTAATTATTTTTTAAATTGTAGAACGATACAGTTATATGTTGTTAATTATCCGCATATGTAACTATCGGTAGAGAAGGAAAATATTTGCATTAAATGAGTTACGGGACTCGTTGAAATGTTTTAAAAGTTGCTTAAAAATAAAATTATTTGTTGGGATTACCGTCGCATAACTTCCTTTGATCCAAGCTCTACATTTGTATGAAGTCTCTACATGTGTTTACTGTGTATTTGTCTCAACCTTCTATTTAATTCGCCGAAATTTAGGGTGTAATTAACACAGCTAATGAAGTCTGATAAATTCGGCACCAACGTTGACAGACTGGATTGGTTGAATTATATTTTAAAAGACCGCACCGGAAGGCGTGTATGTTATTTAATTAGACCGATATCCGAATTACTAGGAAAAGCAACGTGATAAGAAGATTCCATCCATGTATTTTCGGATTAAATTCAGACCGTTTTTGAATATTGCTAAAGTCTAATGGCGGCCACGTGGTCGACGCACCATTTATAGGTCTCCAGCAAGACCAATGGCCAATGTTGCGATTCATTGAATAAGGACAGCAGAGGACCGATCACTGTGGCGATCAAAGAGGAGACGTATGTTCAACAGAGGACAACTTCAAATTGATTAGTGGTAGCTTAGTAGTTATCGAGTTGTATTAGTCTTTTCGAGTGTTTCCACCGCAGTAACCTTTACAAAAACGCGTTGTTTTTTAAAGAGAAAGAAGTGTCCTAAGTGGTCTTATTTCATTCCTTTTATGTTCATGATTACTAAAACTTACACTACTGGTTATACCGGCGTCAATGTAGGGCGCGGTTGGGCGACGGCCCAGGGCCTAACATAAAGGGGCGCCACAGACTTGCTAATTAATTTTATACAACACTCTTAATACTCTACCTAGTCAATAGGGCGTCGTAAGAAATCATGCCAATGGCGTTAATAAAGTTAAAGCGGCACTGACTAGGGAACTTGGAATAAAATTGAATCGTCAATATGTTTTTATAATATTATTATTTCAATAGTAATGTAATTCCTTGTAATATGAACAATTAAAAACGTCTGATTGGATTGTTTCAGAGTAGAGCAGAGCGAGTGCGAGCAGCGTGTAACGACCGCCGATGCAACAGTAAATGTTGCCGTTTTTACTTAGCGATGTATTCCACTTTGCATCAGGTGTGGTCGATAAAGCTTGATACACACGGGCCATTGATAGAATTATAGTCGACAACTTTGTGAAGTCTAATTGAGTGTCGATATTAAAGTCATCATCATCGCCGAGGGGTTCGGAGCCTACCCTAATACGGGGTAACTAGGCCATAGCCAACCACGCTGGCCCACTGCGAATTGGTTGACTTTACACATGTATTTGAATTTCTTCGCCGAAATGTGCAGGTTGCATCACGATGTTTTCCTTCACCGTAAGAACGTCGGGAAAATCACATTGGTACAGCGGGATTCGAACCCAAGATCCGTAGATTATAAGTCAAGTGCTTAAACCACTCAACCACTGACGCTCTAATCTTGTCTTACTAATAATAAAAATGCGAAAGTTTATATAGATGGAAGTATGTTTGTTAGAGTTTGTAGCCCAAACGGATGAACGGATCTCGATGAAATTTTGCATATTTGTAGAGTATAATTTGAAAGAGCACCTAGGTTACATACTTTGTTTTTTTTTTTATAATTTCCACGCGGATGGAGTCGCGGGCAAAAGCTAGTAATCTATAAATCTCTAATTAAATTATTTATCTTGTAACTACAATGCAAAATTTAAAGCGCTACTCTTAAACGTAAATAACCTATCGTTTGGTACACTATACTATTATAATAAAGCGTAAACACACACTTTTTTGTTGCATAAGATGTCAGCAATATTTATGCATACAGCATATTTTTGAATAATTCTTTTTTTAAATAAAAAGCCTTATATTTATGTCACGCCTTAGGCTATACATTTTCACGCTATTAAACTTAGAGGTAAATATTTTGGATAAAAACCCTAATGTGGGAAAGAGATAATAAGTTGCTACCAACACCAAGGAAGCAAAATTGCCATAGTAAGGTAATTTGACATTTGCAATTGAGAATTTGATAAATGTAAACAATAAAAAAAGTTTTTTACAGTTGCCTGCGGATGAAGTCGCAAGGGAACAGATAGTATGGTTATAAATGATAGTGTGTACTTAACTTTACCCGCATATATTGTTCTTTCAATGGTCGCTAAAGTCTTGTACTGGCAAGTAATTAAATAGCATGCGATTAAAGATCCAGGCGAGCGTGAAATGAAATCTAAAGGCCCAGCGTATCGCGTTTGTTTTTACAATCCTTTTGTAACATTTACATATTTTACGTTTATATTTTTAAATGCTATTAGAATATATATTGTTAAGTTAGTTGTAAACGCACGCTAAGTCAACTCTATACCCTTTCCTTACTTAGATTCTAATTAAGACGGTCAAATTACGGATGTAATGTCGGTCACTTAAACACTATCCTGGCTTACTCGTCTGACGGACGAGGCCTGGATGGTGTTTAAGTTGGCCGACATCTGTTTGAGAAAACAGTTGGACAACTGAGGTTTTGTGAGTTAGACTTATGGGGCGTTATCGTCGCTTTGCGACAAAGCCCCCTGTAAAAATAAATTTAAAAAAAAAGACGGTCAAAGATCACTATAAAAAGTATATTTAAAAAGTAATTACAGATAACTAAAGAAGCTATAAGGTAATGTAGAACCTTGTATGAAGTTACATGTTCCGTTTGAGGGCATTTTCGTGGAACAAAAAGTCATCGTAGTGTTTAATTGTACCGCAGTCGTTGTACTGTGACTTAGTGCAATGGCACTTAATGCAATGTTTTTGCGATCTCCCATTAGTACTGTTTACGAGGCACGTACATCGCCGTCGCACGATATTAACATCTTTAATGACGACTTTAATTGTTTTTTTCCGGTTTACTTGTATTGCAAAAAATATCGTATCGTTTATTATGACTTTTAGAAGATGGCTTATTTCTGACTGTATATGCTATTCTATGTGAAAAATAAATTGACTTTTAAATTACTAAAAATTAATAAAATAATAATTTGTAGTAAGTTATATAGATGAAAAAGGGGAAACATGTTTGTAAATGTCTGTCACATATTTGATGTATGCCAGTAGAACTGTTGGTATCATTCGTGCCCTCATACGTCAAATAAAATGTGAACGAAATGTCCTGTTGCATAACACATTTTACGTAAGAAATTACTGGTTATTAATTGAAAACGTCCAGGTCTGGTGTAATATATGCACTTAACTGACGTTCTATGCATTTTGCATTATGTAAATGCAAAAATGTATTGTTAAGTTAGTATGTAATTGAGTAAATAATGTGAAAGCAAGCTTGTGTGCATAATCTTAGAGATGTGATTCAGTTTAATCAAATCAAGATATTTTCGTGTTTTGGGCCGCTTTGATGAAATTAACTCCATCGCTATATGCTTTAAGCAAATTTAGTGCCTAACCCTCCTTGTATCGATGTATGTCCTGTTACTTAAATGTTTAGCAGAATTAAACGCTCTGTGTTGTAAGACTATAAGGATTTTAAAAAATGATAAACATATGCAAGAGTGACAACGACACGCTAGCCTCGATTTGGTCGACTCGAAACTTTAACGAGTGTATAGTC